TGTAATATCAAGTTTGAACATTAAGCACAAGACTCCTAAATTAAAAAAAATGTGAAGGTTACTACAAAACCAAAAAAAAATTAACATGATGTTATAAGTTGAGTGTGGTTATGAAAATATTCAGCATTGAGACAAATGTTGAATTACTGTTTACGACTTTTTTGTTGAGGTATTGCATCTATAGTGTGATGTTGAGGCGCACAAATTGGTTTCTCTCAAATAGTGTTGATGATCATAATCCTCTAATTGCTATGTTTGTGTCATCATACTAATATGTGTTATGAATTTTGATTGTTATAGTAGACTTGGGGGAGACATCCAAAAATGCCCAAAATAGGGTGATCTAAATGGGGTGGTGGATTCACCCATCCAAAATGGGGTTTGATCTGGTAATGTACTGGTGAAAATGGAACATCTTGCGGCGAGAGCCACTATGTGCAACTCGATTCATTTGTGTCATGCAGCCCACCTAGAGTGCACACGGTTGGTAAACTTGGATAAAAAGAAGTAGATGGTACAGCACTGACAACTACTAACGGGAATAATGTGTCTGATGTGAGTGGGTGCTCTGCAACATTGTTTGTGTCATAGCAATCATCTGTAACATACATGCACCTGTGAGCCTCTCTACATAAGCCCTCATATGCATCAATCAGTCTGACATAGGTTGTCATCACATCTCCCAAATATTGGTTAAATTAACTCTTCTGTCTTTAAGAAGTGATGACATTCCATTAAAATTCAAAATAATAAATATACATAATTACTTAAAAATACTCGTGACCACATTAAATTACCTAACTGAATTCTCTCCCCTATTGCTTTTGGATAGCAAGATTTAAAAGCTTCGGCTGGAGCTTGCAACAAATATAGGGAAGCCCATTATCTGTATCAACGCATGTACTCTCTACGTGATTGATCATTGTCTATATTATTGTGGTAGACAATAAAGGCACATCTGTTTTTCCAATCCGTACAAACACTGGTGATATACAGCCCAATCCATATATGGCTTCACTTTACCATTACCCATATGAATCCAACCTTCATTGGCTCCATGTCAATTACTTGAATACTGTCAAATTGCCTCATGACGTGATCAGGTAAATGTCACTCAACTCTCTTCTAAGAGATTAATGAATCACGGGCTTGTCAGATGTTCTGCCCCGCCTTACATATATCAGCCACCTGTGTCAGTATCTCTTCCGGGTTGGGATCCCATGATACATGATTATTTTAAAATGCACATCAATTCAGCATGTTACTAGTCAGCAAGAATAAAATATACGAAAGATTGCATTTACATTAAACATTGTACAAACATGACTTTCTAGTACCCCGTCAATCTCATCCCTACAAACTCTTACAATCGTCATAAGAATTTATTGAATGTGTAACTCATTCCATCTGTAATTTGATATATATTCTCAACTTTACAAATAATGTTTTTAATAAAAAATCAACCACTACTTACTCGAACCATACTCTTCCCTTCTCAGGTTTGAAGAAGAAGACACATGAAGTGTCGATCGGCCTACATGCAAATGTTCCCAACTTCAAACCTATAGAAGAAATAGACACCCAGTCATATTCACCATGTTGATGGATCAACTATTGCACTGTTTGGTGGGGACTTTTAAAATTCTTCTAGATTTTCCATTATCGACAAGTATTGAAGATGAATCTCGCAACCAGACATATTAGACAGTAAAAAACAATCTAGTATGAAAAACTTATATGCATGAATATGCCCTAAAATATAACATCATCTAAGTCCATATCAAATTCATGACAAAAGGTCTATCTCAACCTTCTGAGAAGTATGTAAGCAACTCTTTGCCTGATCTATCTGAAATGTCAATGTAAGCTCCTCATTATTGGAGTCATGATAGATAAAATCTTCCATCGGATGATCGCTAAGAAGTTTATCACAATCAGACCACAAGCCCATCTGCAACCTCAATCCAACCACATCATATCAGATCTCATAAACTGTTTGCAGTGTCAAAGTCCACTAGCTCAATTTTATGTGGGCTTACATCAAACTCAACAGCATAACCTAGTGATGCAATGACATGTAAACGGGAAATATGAAATATTTGAGGTCTTTCACACGAACATGTATAACCCCGAACAACATGAATCTAAACTCCATATGTGTGACAAGAAATATCGTAAAACTTCATACTCGTGCATGTTAATATGAATTTGTGCTGGTCTCCTAGCTTCAAACTCATATATTAGTAGAAAAGTGGTCATCTTTGGTAAAAAGCCGGTATAATAATTTCCTTCCAACTCAATTGCAATTGAATGCCTCTTCAAAATTAAATTTATAATGTTATAATAAATTGAGCATATTAGTGTTTGTATCGGCAACCCTCTAGCACAGTTGAGGCTCCAATAAAACACTCTAAAGCATTTATCGTCATAGTACCAAATCAAAATAGACCATCAAGAATAAACTCGACTTGGTCGGATCCCGCTACATGAATCAATCCATTGCTTCTTCTTTAATATTTTTTTATATTTGTCATGAAACGATTGAAAACATGCATATAATCAGTACTATCCGTCAAATATATCTTTTGACAAGTTGTCTCAACATCTAGAACACCCATGCTGTGAAGGACATTCTTGAAATTTTCGTGCAAATGTTGTAGCCAATGTATGTGTGTCACCCAAAGAAAAATTTGATGACAAGCTCCTATATTTCCAAAGTGGCGATCAAGGATGATGCATATGAGTATCTTGAAGAAATTGAAGGGGGTTGTATCATGCAGAATTTGTATATACAAGCACCATGAATCATTACATTCTGACGCAACAACAACATATGTCAACGAAAATGCACAGTTAACATCAATAACAATAATGATCAGTAATGTATTTTGTATTTAACCAACAAAAAAGTTTCATCCATTCTAATAGCTGGTCATCAGTGAACCCAAACATTATATTTGACATTATTAAGAATTGATCGCCCACCAACTACACATTGAAGTTCATTTTTATTGTAAAAGAACATATCTTCTAAGAGTCAAATGGAATAAAACCTTCTTAGGTAGCTATCATGTGCTCACTAGGACCATCAAAACCAACATTCTCATCCCATTGTTGAGCGGTTTGGCAGTACTGTATATAATTGTTGTTGCTAATCATTTGATCTGCTATGTTAAAATGCATGCTCTTGTATTAGTTCATACTCATATATTTGTGCATTATCATACTCCTCAATATCTTCATAATCAGTCTTACCATCGGATTATTGTTATCATCATTTCAGTTGTTATACATTGTCTCATATCCTTCAATAATTAAAGATAATTATACATCTGATTCAAAGTTTAATGCAAATTTTCGGTAACGCTACTAACCATTGATGAATTATAAATAAAAATATTTCTGAAAAAAAAACAATTTTATATCCATCACATATTTCACATTACTTTAACAAACTTAATAAAAAGATATACAATAATACTTATTAATTTGTATCGATGTCCGAAAAATTGGTTAGCGAATATTGTAATATTATTTGTTCAATATTATGGTCATCTTAAGATCAGAATAATCTTTGCATAATGTATTATAACTTTACTTGAAATTTCTGTGGAAACAACTCCAGTCACCTCATCATATATAAATTACAAGAAATACTTCATGGAGGGGAAAACGACATACTATATTGAAAGTATAATTCCACAAATCATATCTCAATGTTCGAAGTATTAAAATTTTAAACTATAGATATGAAAAACGCAGTGAAACTCGAATAAGTCTACTTTAACCACAACATACTTTAGCCCAAGATCTTCAAGTACAGCTAATTCTACATCATAATGTAATATCAAGTGAACATAAGCTTCACTCACTTTTTCTGTCCTTCTTCATTAAATTAATAAAACCATGAAAAATATTAGTCATCTTTACCATTAAAGATGATAGCCAAATTATGATATATTTCATAAAATAAAATCAAAATCAAGAAAGCAATATAAGCTCAGCATTGAAGAGTAGGCTTTTATATTCGCTACAATTGCAATGGTACAAGAATTGTGTGATTATCAACACTAGCATGGTAGATACAAAATGCAACCGCTGCCATTACCACTTTATATCACAAGACCGTTGAAACATATATATTATTTTCTCAATATGTTGGTTATCTTCATCATTAACAATATAAGAAAAAATGGGAAAATTATTTTTCTTCACAAGTAATTTTGTTAATTTTTAGTGTGATCCTGTATCTATTTTCTTGTTGTTCCACACACCAAAAAAAAAAAAAAAAGGAATTTGTGGTCTCTTTATTGCCATCTCTTTTTTGTTTCCCCATCTGTTTGTTCAGAACTGTTTGCGACATCATTCAACATAAATATTTATGATAAAAAAATCTTGAATAATAAATATTACATGTCAAAATTTTAAGATGTATTTAATGATAAATTTTAGGAGCTGCACCCTTTTCTATTACAAAACAAAAGAAAAACTTTTATGGAATCTTCCATGAAATCTTTATGAGATTAATGGCTTCAAGAATTATTTTCATAAAATTTTGATGTCATTTGACGAATTAGCATAATATTAAATTCATTATTTTTATCAATCTAAAATATAAAAGAATAAGCAAATTAATAATCAATAGATACTGCTTTCATTTTTTTTTAAGTTCAGATAGTATGAACAAATTTGGGTGAGAAGCACACCACATGGTCTCTAAAGTGCCATAAATGGCAAGTTTAACCCCTTCAACAACCCTTGCACATTTATAAATATTTTTTAAAGCCCTAAAAGCAATATTTAACCACAAACTTTAAAACCAAATAACAAGCTTTAGAATACAAGTCACTTAGATTGATATAACTCAATGGAGAAATTTAAACTTCATACTTCGATTGAAACTTAAACTAAAGGCTCAAGTGTATGCTAAACACACAACTGGTCATGCACTACAATTGTCAAGATAGTAACTCTTGATTTTACGTTTAGAATGTCTTATCCTGATTGAAATTACATTTGGCCTTTTACTCTAAACCCTAAACTTCTAAAAACATGCACAAATTGATATACATATTTTTCGCCTAAGCATCTATGTGTATGCATACAATTCAAATTTGAAACACCAAATCAAATGCACCCAAGTTCCATGGCAAATCACAAATAAGGGATGGCTCACGCAAAATGGAAAGAAAAACAAAAAAAAAAAAGCAAAACAAAAGGGAATGTCGACAATTCGTTGCCGACAGCCAGAGCCACTGCAGGTGATGGATGACACAAAATGAAGGCTTGAGGGCAGGGAGGATGGCTTCTCGAGAAGCTCGGTCGCAAGAAATGGCAAAACAAAGATAAAATGTGAGATTTAGGGCAAATATGACTCAGCGAGTCACCAAGTCAGCGGCAACTCATCCTCACTGGTGAGTAGCCGCTGAGTTGGTGACCTTGTTCAATTAAAAAAAAATTATGCAAATGCTATTTTAAAAATTTTGCCTTTGAATCGCACACGCATAATTATTTCTGTAATCATTAGTTAACTTCGAAAAGAAGCAAACACAGATGTTAAGATTGGTGTTGTTGAACTCATTTCTCCCCTAACAAAATCAGATTTCTACAATAGTTTAATGAGAACAATGCCGGACGGGAACAGACTTATGGAACAAACCTCCAAAGATCTACTGCTAGGTCTACTGTTTTCTTCTTGTGAAACTGGTATAGCTGAGGGACGTCAAACCTAACCTGTAAATTTCAATAAAAGAAATAAAATATCATCTTAAAACAACCAAAAAAAAATGGGATGAGTTACATTACATACCGCCCAATTTTTGTGTTTACATACCTATACATGAAAAGGTACATTTCACTTTTTAGAAGTTAAAATTGTGATATTTTTTATGTGATATGAAAGATTTGGATGCTAAAAATGTAAAAAAGCAAAGTTTAAGTGTTGCATGTGTAAATATATAAGAATTGGGTGGTATGTATGTAAATGCCGCGAAAACAAACAAACAACAACAACAACAAAGCCTTAATCCCATTGCGTGGGAACGGCTACATGAATCCTTTTTCTCCATTGTGTCCTATTTAGTGTCATATTGTCATTTAGTTCTAGTAAATTAAAATCATTTTTTATACAATAAGCCCAAGTCTTCCTAGGTCTACCTCTGCCTTTCTTAACACAAATCAAATCTAAAACATCTACTCTCCTAATTGGATCATCATATGGTTGACGTTTAATGTGATCAAACCATCTAAGATGACTTTCTCTAATTTTGTCCATCACAGGAGCTACACCAACCCTATCACGGATATATTCATTTCGCATTTAGCATTACAGGTCTCTCCACCGTCTTATAAAATTTTCCGTTCAGTCTAAGCGGTACTTTTCTGTCACACAAAAGGCCCGAAGCATTCCTCCACTTCAACCAACAAACTTGAATTCTACTATTAACATCCCCATCTATATCACCATTGCTTTGAACAACAGACCCAAGTTATCTAAAAAGTTCACACCTTTTAATAATTTTATCACCCAAAGTCACACTTCTGTCACTAGAGCTACTACTACTAAAATTATATTCCATGTATTCAGTTTTAGTTCTACTTAAATGAAGGCCTTTAGACTCCAATTTAGACCTCCATAATTCAAATTTTTCTGGGCTTTTTCTCTCGTGTTATCCACGAGAAGGATATCACCAGCAAAAAGGATACACCAATGTACATCCTCCTATAGATGTCCAGTAAGACCATCCATAACTAAAGCAAAAAGATATAGGCTTAAAGTCGATCCCTGATGTAATCCAATAGAAATAGGAAAATATTTGGTCAATCCTCCTTCAATTTGAACACAAGTAACAGCTCTAGTATACATATTTTTAATGACTTAAATATAAGTCATATCAACACCAGTCTTCTCAAGAACCTCCAAAGGATATCTCTTGGAACCTTATCGTAAGCTTTTTCAGCGTAAGCTTTTTCTAAATCAATCAAAATCAAATGTAGATTCTCCTTATTATCTCTGAACTTCTCCATCAAACCTCTCAATAAATGTATAGCTTCCATAGTAGACCTGCCCCAAAAACAAACAAGTCAATTAATTTTCAACAACAAATATTCAATTCTGCAGGTACAGGAAACCAAAAAATGCCGCACAATTAGTGCTAAAATTGTAGTCCCTGCTAGTCAGGAGAAAGGATTGATGGATTGTGACTTCATCCTGAACTCCATTCAAAATGTAAATTAAAGCTGCATATTTCATTTCCTTTACTCTGTACTAGCAGCAAAAAGAAGTCGATATTTCCCATGTAATGTAATTCAAGAAAACAATAAGGTAGCACAACCCAACCAATTGGCTTTCACTGCTAGAGAAATTTAAACCATAATTATTTATTTTTTGGTATAACCAGAAAAACAGTCAAATTAAGTTCATGTACCTCGCATAAAACCTCGGCACTCTTGGCATGAAAATCTCGTAATGCTACTCGCTTGATATGCTACAAAAAGAAGACAATGCAAAGTAATTATAAAGGGTACAATCAAATAGTAAACAAGAAACTATATATAATTATTTGGATGTAGCCTATATCACTATTGGATGAATAAATTGAAAGTTCAGCTACTCCTAAGTTCTCACTGCTTGATAAATTTCCTCTAAAATGACCTAATTTCAAAACCATTATAGCATTGTCTTTGGCTTACTTAATTCTATTTATGTTTTCATTAAAATTTCAAATGATCATGATTATAGTAGGGCTTTTTCTAGGCATTCCTACTGTATTATAATTGCCAAATAAAATTTGTTGAAATGGGCATCTTCCTTTAATATAAAAGAAGAAACTCCAATTATACCAATCTAGATTTCTTTCCCCAAAATGCAATTACGGGTTTTTAATCACCAAATTATTTTTCCAGTTGAATCAACTTTTGCTTAGCCTTTACAAAGCAACTTCTTTATTATATTGCCCATTTTTTGATGGAGAGGGATGTTTCAGTTAAGCATCCTCGGGATATTTGATATGTTTGAATAATTATAATTATGCATAGAAAGTGGAGTTTGCAAACCTTCCATTATTTTATCTGCACAGCAAAAGACATGGTCATATAAAATCTGAATATTTCAATCTTCGTCCTTACTTGAGGAGGAAATTTTCAAATACTATTACCAATGTTAATACAATTGACGCTGAGATTAAAATTCAAAAGACGACAACAACAACAACACAACAACAAAGCCTTGAACAAAGCCTTGATCCCACTACGTGGGGTCGTCTACATGAATCCTTTTTCTCCATTGCGTCCTATTAGTGTCATATTTTCATTTAGTTCTAATAAATTAAGATTAAAATTCAAAAGAGCAAAGAAATATAAAATGTTGTCACTAAAAATGAGCTTCAATAATAAAGAAAATTGTAGATTTTTGGAGGAAAAAACTCTAACTTTCTCATTAACAAATAATAAATATTTATACTGTTCGGACTATCCCTTACAAAATTGGAAGAAAATTTAAGTCATTATGATAAAAAGAAAAGAAATAAAAACACTAATGGATAATTAAGGGAGAATAATTTCTCCCCTGCAAATGTAATCGCAGACTCAGGATTCCAAAATCGGATATGCATATCAAAACACTCCCCCTCAAGTTGGGTTGTATAGCTCATACATCATAAACTTTCTGCTGAGATCACTGAAGTGGTGTCGAGGAAGAGCCTCAACAAGAATGTCAAAAATCTGATATTGAGTTGGGATATAGCTTAATTGAACAACCCCTCCATTAACCTTCTCAGAGATGAAGTACCTATTAATCTCTAAAAGTTTGGTTTGATTATGGTGCACCACATTCTTTGAAATACTAGCTAATGGTTGATTGACTATCATTGAACATTTTAATAGTATTTTGTTTCTCAATGTAAACTTCTATCAGTAGTTTCTTTAGCCACATCATTTCACAAATTTCTAGGTCCAGGGCACGATACTCAGATTTTGCACTATTTCTTGTCACCACAGCTTATTTTTTACTTCTACAAGTAAAAAGGTTACACCACACAAATGAATAGTAACCTATTATAGATCTTTTATCAATGAGTTCTTTCGTCCAGCTAGCGCCAGTATGGATCTCAATGTCATAATTCTCAGTCTTCTTAAAAATTAATCCACATCCTAGAATCATCTTTAGGTACCTCAAGATTTGAAAGACCGCTTATAAATAATTGTTCACTACACCCACAAAAAAAGCAATATGTGACAGATAAATAAGTTACCCTACAAGTTTTATACACCTCCCTCTTTCGACCGGGTTGTTATCCTCTCCCTTAAATGCTCGTCTATTGGGATCCATATGAGTATCGGTTGCTTCGCATCCCAACATATTAATGTCTCTTTTAATAAGTCAATGATATATTTTCATTGTAATATGACAATGTCTTCTTTGAATCTAACTACTTCTATTCCCATAAAGTATCTTAAAATTTCAAGATCTTTAATCTCAAACTCATAAGCCATTATTCTTTTGATTACTTCAAGTTCCCCATGTCATTGCCGGTAAGTATAATGTCATCAATATATACAATAAGGATGGCTATCATACCTTTTTTATTTCATTTTACAAACAAAGTGTGATCAGCCAGACACTGATAGTACTCATTTGCAAGAATAGTCTTAATGAACCTTTTAAATCATACTCTGGGAGATTGTTTAAACCCATATAATGATTTCTTTAGTTTACACCAACTGATTATTAGTGTTGTTTCTTTAATCCTAGAGGTATCTCCATATATAGTTCCTCCTTAAGGTCCTCATTAAAATATGTATTTTAATGTCTAGTTGATGTAAAGGTCAGTCATAGTTGACAGCCAATGACAATACTTCTACTGTGTTGAGTTTCACCACTGGTGCAAATATCTTCTGATAGTCGATCTCATAAGACCGAGATAACCTACTTGTTACAATTCTAGCCTTAAGCCTTTCTATGCACCCACCTGCTTTGCATTTAATAGTGAATACCCATTTGCACCTTACAGTTCGGAGTTGTTATGATCCAGGAACCATTCATTTCAAGGGCAATAATCTCTTCTTCCACAACCATTTCCAAGCCGGAATAGATAAGGCCTCATGGATTGAATTTGAGACTTGCACGTTATCTAAATTCTGAACAAATATTTATAAGAGATAAATTTTCGTATTTCAAAAATTTTTTTATCAGATGTTTTGTGTATTCTTTTGCACCTTCTTCCTCTTGTTGTTCATAATGTGTTGAACTACCTCTGTATGAATACTTGGGGTGTGGAATTGATTATGGTGATTTGCATTCTTGATTTTGAATATTGTTCCTTACAAGCTCATTAGATTTTTTTTCATTTCTAGTGTACGCAGAGTTCTTGGTTCTTTGTGGGAGTTGTGAGAGGATTAAGTCAAGTAGTAGGTTTATTTTCAAGTCGATTTCTGATGTCGGGGATAAGAGTAGGTTCATCAAAGATATAAGAGATGTGAGCTTGAGGTTCCTAAATGGTAGCCCAAATCTATTATTTTTTTTCGTATCTCCCCCTGAATATAAGATTTGGGGTAATATGTTTGGTTTTCAAAGAAAGTGGCGTCCATAGAATTGTAAAATTTTTCTGTGTTTGGATAGTAGCATTTATACCCTATTTTGTTTGAAGAATAGCTCAAAAAGATGCATTTGATTGATCTAGGATCAAGTTTGGCCTTGAATATGTTGCTTTAGAAGAATAGAAGTGATGCAAACAAAAGTTTTCAAGGGTAGTTTAGAGGTAAAGGATTGAATGCATAAGTAGAATTTTATGAGGGTGTTGATAGGTTTATTGAAGTTTAGCACTTTGATGGGCATCTTATTTATGAGGCAAGTGGATGTGAGAATTACATCTCCCAAAAGTGTTTGGGTGGTTAGTGAATAGAATTGATCGGGCCACTCTGAGAAGTAATTTGTTCTTTCTCTCAACCACACCATTTTGTTGAGTGTGTCAACACACAAGCTTATATGAATGATATCATTTTTTGATAAATAAGGGTCGATAGTGGATTTTTAGTAGTTTTTTGCATTATCGATTTTGAGAATTTGAATTTTACTCTGAAATTGGGTGAAGCTCATGTTGTGGAAGGTTTCAAATATGCTAGCAATTTTATATTTTTCTTTCATGAGAAGGGCCCAATTAATTCTGGTGTGGTCATCAATGAAAGTAACAAACCACTTAGCCCCATTTGTATTTTTTACTTTTGATGAATGGATGTGTTAGTTTATATTTCGAGCTTAGGTACACTCGTCTAGTTGTTTAGTAAGTTGAAAAATTTCACACATAAAATAACTAGGGTTTTATTGATGAATAAATAAGGATAAAAGTTTTGAATATAATAGAAGTTATGATATGCAAGGCAAAAATGTCAAAACATAACTCTCATGAAAAACAACCACAGATACAAGACTTGATTCAAACGACTGTGAATGATGGGATGGTCCTTTTAAAGTGGGAGTCTTATTGAGCAGATAAAATCCATGATACATATCAGCACTGTCAATCACCTTCCCCGAGTCCATCACCTTTTAAAGTGTCTTATGTCTTCTGGCCTGGTCATGGTTCTCTCTACTCACTTCTCAATACTAAATCCCGAAATAAAAAAATAAAGATTTCTTAAATGATAATTGGGATGCATAATAAGATATTCATTTGAGAAATAATCATGGACATGGTTTCAGATTAATATAGCAAATTGCTATTCCTACTGCTTGCACTTCGTTGGAGAATTCTAAAAGATTATATTCTTGCGGATGTGTCCAACTTCAAAATAAGGTTTTGTACCTTTCAGCCAAGTGCCAATATTTTTTTTGTGTAAAAACTATTCCACATGATTTAATTAATGTAGAAATAGCCTCTAAAATATAGATTATGTTTGATGATCATTTTAATAGTTCACGTTTTCATTGCAATGTCATATTTCTTAATATTCTGTGGTCTTTCTTGTCCAACGGAGTGGATAAAGCCAAAGATCATATAAGAACAATCATTCCCATGCATATTTTTTTGGTATATTTGATTTGATAGGAATGAATCTAAAAATAAAGGTGAACGTAAAAGACAAGTATCTAATCTTTGGCTGAGATTCTCTTTTAAAAAATCATTAAAGGTGCTCAATATATAGCTGTTACTTTTGATATTTCTCTCAACTATTGCTATTTTATTATATTGGAGAAATAACTACTCTATGTGGTTAAAATAACATTTATAGTTCAGTTAACCATGAAAAGTATGCGTATGCTGGTCTCTTAACAGGCCAAGCAAGTAACGTTATTATGACCTTTGCTTGTCATCCAAATCAGTTATACAATTATTTACAATTAAATATGTTTAGATGTTTGTGCTTAATAGAATATTAAAAAATTTTAGATTCGGGTTAATGCTAACCTTCTTATTAATCTTACTGAAATTTCTGAGATCAATAATGTCGGGCTTTCTTATTTTCTATGGAAAACTAAGAAAAAGTTCAT